ATTTTTAACTACAATGTATTAGAATTATGAACACACTTATGAGAAGATTCATTTCATAATTAAATCAAAGTACAAATGTATGCCATATTTCTCAGTATTATTTACCTCTTCACTACGAAGTCCAAAAAACTTTGTATAATGTCCAGGATAACCTGTAAATCTGAAAATACATTTACCATAATAAATATCGTTAGATAGGAGATAACTAAGTCTGCTTATGCAATAGAAAAAGCTGTGCATTACTTAAGTTTTCAGCACACCTGCTCAAAATCTCAAAAACACACCTGTGAATTTGTCTATTGAATTCTGATTGATACAAGGAAGAATGTAAAGAATTATTTTTTTAATTTCTCCATACTTCTGTGTATATCTGTTTCTCAGGAATGTGAAAATATGGCAGGAATTACGTAATGCTCGTAGTAATGCCGAATCTGTGCAATACATGTTCAAAATGACCAACACGTTAAATGGGTCAATATATCTTATTGTAAATCAAATTAAAAGAAATGAATTGGCAGACACACAAAGCATTAACTAAATTAAAGTCTTTCATTTCACAATGGTAAATTCTCAATGTATAATACAATTATGCCAGAAGTAAACTTTAAAGACTAAAATAACTTTGAATTTGATTATGGGCAAGAAATTAGCAGTCTTCAACCTTAACCTCTCTAATATTACTTCAAATCTTGACTTACCTCCCTTTGAAAAATGCAATGTAAATTATAGATGAGTAGAAATTCACAAATTGGAAAATAAAAACTTTAAATGTCAGCTGGTCTTCAAATTCAGTCTGTGTTCTATGCATTTCTGAAATACAAAAATTAAATGAATTCCTGAAACCAAAACCCATGGATTTTTACAACAGATTGCACTATTTACCAGTTTAAAAAATTTAGTAAGCATTTTTGGGGGGCAATTGTATATAGCAAAGTATAATACAAGCATATTCTAAGAATCTTATGCGAGGTTCCTATACCTCTTTGTAAAACCTACATTTTCATATATAAAATCATTATCTTGTTTTTGGTAAAAGAATTGTTTATACAATATCAATTTTACCTCTGCTACTTAAAAGTCAATGTTGAACTGACAAGAAATTTTTTAAAAATCTACATTTTCATAAAATATCTAACATGATTTTCTTTCCGAGGCCATAAATTCACAACAACTTACCTCACTGTGTCATCCTCAATGCCAATTTTTCTTATACTCTTCCCAGGGCCATAAATATACAACAACTTACCTCACTGTGTCATCCTCAATGCCAATTTTTCATATACTCTTCCCAGGGCCATAAATATACAACAACTTACCCCACTGTGTCATTCTCAATGCCAATTTTTCTTATATTCTTCCCAGGGCCATAAATATACAACAACTTACCCCATTGTGTCATTCTCAATGCCAATTTTTCTTATACTCTTCCCAGGGCCATAAATATACAAACAACTTACCCCATTGTGTCATCCTTAATGCCAATTTTTCATATACTCTTCCCAGGGCCATAAATATACAACAACTTACCCCATTGTGTCATCCTTAATGCCAATTTTTCATATACTCTTCCCAGGGCCATAAATATACAACAACTTACCCCATTGTGTCATCCTCAATGCCAATTTTTCTTATACTCTTCCCAGGGCCATAAATATACAACAACTTACCCCATTGTGTCATTCTCAATGCCAATTTTTCTTATATTCTTCCCAGGGCCATAAATATACAACAACTTACCCCACTGTGTCATTCTCAATGCCAATTTTTCTTATACTCTTCCCAGGGCCATAAATATACAACAACTTACCCCACTGTGTCATCCTCAATGCCAATTTTTCATAAACTCTTCCCAGGGCCATAATCAGAATCAAGTTAACAATGGCCGACGACATGCTGGCAATAATTTGGGCACGCGGACGAGTTGTCGGGTTTTGGAACAACGGAATGCTCACCAGTACACGGTACATTATTACAGCTATGATAAATATAATGACCAATGTCATCTGAAATATTACAAATAACAATATATAAATACAACATTTGACAGGAAATCGTCAGGTAAAAAGAATAGGTTTTAAGGCAATATCAAATTTAAAAAAATTATCAAATAAAATTATTTTTGGACAATACACATGCATCAAGGAACTTTATAACAATCATTTTGTGAAAGTTTGGCTGAAATCCCTTGAGAAACGTGGGAGGAATTACAAACAGAAATAACTTTTTTAAACCTAGGTGTTACTTTAATGTAAAAACTTGACTTTTCTCTTAAACTTCCAGGTTAACTAATATTTTACCTAAGATTACAGGGACTACGTTATCATGCCAAATTTATTGTTTTGTTCAGATCAAAATTCTGTTGACCTTTTAATCCAAAAAATCAACTAACAACAACAAAAGTTTTCAATGTTTCTTATAAACTGTGACAATGTGAACCAATTATATACATTATATTCAAATTGACATCTCAGTAACATCAAGGCAGTACAAAAGATGTTTCTATTCTAAATGATTTGTCTTAATATCATTTATTTTAATTATAATACTTGCACCTACCATAACTATAATTACTGCAATACCAGAGAGAATTCTGGGTAATCGTTTACGCGGAGGGAAGTACGGCTCTTTAACGCGAGTGATGGGATTTTCCTCGTATGTTGGGGCTTTTGCTGCATATTCTGGTCTTGGTCTTTCCTGCAAATAAGACAATATTCTGATTTTCATGTACACATTGTGCAAAATTATGGATAGATATAGAAACAAGAGGGCCATGATGGCCCTGAAGTCGCTCACCTGTATATAGGCCCCCGGAGCGGGGCCAGTTTAAACCCCAGGGCTTTTATTTGAACAAACTTGGTAGACACCCATTAGAAAATGTTTCATGCTAAATATCTAAGGTCTAGCTGGTCAAGTTTTTTCTTTACACATATAGTAAAAAACAATGACAAACCTGGGGCAGGGCCAGTTTTGACCCCAGGGCTTTATTTGAATAATCTTTGTAGACACTTACTAGAAAATGTTTCAGGCTTAATATCTAAACTCTAGCTATTCAGGTTTTTTCAAAGAAGATTTTTAAGTTTTTGCTTTACACATATAAGGAAAATCAATGTCACCCGGGGCGGGCCAATTTTGACCCCAGGGCTTTTATTTGAGCAAACTTTGTAGACACTCACTAGAAGATGCTTCATGCTTAATATCTAAACTCTAGCTATTTGAGTTTTTTCAAAAAAGATTTTTTTAGTTTTTGTTATACACATATAAGGAAAATGGATGACCCCCGGGGCGGGGCCAATTTTGACCCCAGGGCTTTTATTTGAACAAACTTTGTAGACACTCACTAGAAGATGTTTCATGCTTAGTATCTTAACTTTAGCTATTTGATTTCTTGTAAAGAAGATTTTTTAAGTTTTTGCTATACACATATAAGGAAAATCAATGACCCCGGGCGGGGCCAATTTTGACCCCAGGGCTTTTATTTGAACAAACTTGGTAGACATCCATTAGAATATGTTTCGTGCTAAATATCTTAGCTCTAGCTCTTTGGGTTCTTTAAAAGAAGATTTTTTAAGTTTTTACTATATGCATTATAGGGAAAATCAATGACCCCCTGGGGCGGGGCCAATTTTGACCCCAGGGCTTTTATTTGAACAAACTTGGTACACACCCATTAGAAGATGTTTCATGCTAAATATCTTAGCTCTAGCTCTTTGGGTTCTTTAAAAGAAGATTTTTTAAGTTTTTACTATATGCATATAGGGAAAATCAATGACCCCCTGGGGTGGGGCCAATTTTGACCCCAGGGCTTTTATTTGAACAAACTTGGTAGACACTCACTAGAAGATATTTCATGCTAAATATCTAAGCTCTTTCTCTTTGGGTTTTATAGAAGAAGATATTTAAAGTTTTTTCTTTTGGTTGCCATGGCAACCAGAGTTCTGCATGGAATTAAATTCTTTGAACAATTTTCAAAGGTGACCACCAAAGGAACATTCCTGTGAAGTTTGGATGAAATTGGCTTAGTGGTTTATGAGGAGATGTCATTTAAAGTAAAAGTTTACGGACGGCGGACGACGGATGGACGCCGGACGGACGCCGGACGAAAAGCGATCACAAAAGCTCACCCTGTCACTTTGTGACAGGTGAGCTTAAAACAGTGTAGAGTACAAACACCACCACGCTGGTTAACTGTCCAGCAGAAACTTTGCACAGCTCATTACCACCCTTAAACAGTTACCCTCAAAGTCAGATATTCTGGTCTATTCTAGCAGTTATTTTAGAATTTGTAATTTTGTTTTTTATATACACCATTTAAAACAGAACTGTTATCTCCATCCCATTGATCTTTTTCATTGGGTAAAATGAAAAGCTAAAAGAATTCTAGTAAAAGACCAAGGGAGACTATCAATAAAAGTATAAGCAACAAGACAAAAAGAGTTACCTCCTCTTCTTCATAATCCGAGACATCCCAATGGTGAGCTAAACTAGCATTCTTTCTCTTCCAGTACTCCAGAAAAGTCACAGCTGTAATATACAACTATAATATTAACTCTTATCCTGCTGGTAGCAACTTTAATTTTACCCTATGATGTCTGATGATGGTCTGCACTGTTCACCATTCAATCAGTTTTTTTTTTTTAATTTTCCCTTAAAATGATGAACAGTCTTGTCTATATTGTAAGATGGAAAATTCTTTTTTCAGATATCAAGCATGGTAAGATTCAATTTGTCATCTAAAAATATACATGAATATAGAATGTAGACACTGTTGTATTATTAAGTTTTTAATATGCTTGGGAAAAATTGCACATTTTGTCATGAATTTTAAGACCATTAAATTTGATATTGTCTGAAGAAATGTGGCAAACTGATATGTCTGTAAAATATAAACATTGTTTCAAAATTAAAGTGGAGAGTGAAGAAAGGCAAAGTGATTTAATGTAATGTTAAAGATTCTAAAACCATACAATCAGATTACAAGTTAAAATAATTCATATCAATAAATAAAGACTTTAAAAGCAATAAGGTATGTTTAAAACTTGTATGCCAGTCATCTACTGGTTATTACTAATCTCAATACCAAGTTTGAAATTCCTAGGCCCTAAGTTATTGATCAGAAACGATTTTTGGTTTATGGACCAACCAACCGATGTGCAAAGCAATATGCTACCACTTCTTCTAAGGTGGGTATTGAAATTCCTGCTTGACTTATATTTCAATTATAAACAAGGCAGTCTGAAGGACAGCTAAATCCCCTTCCGCAGTGAACATGAATGTGTACTTCTTGACCTTTTACCAACCATGACCTTGATGTTGTGCCATGCATATCATAAGCACATAGTCTCACGATGGTGATTATTTGTGCCAAGTTATTTAAAATCTTCCATAAAGTCAAAAAGTTATGGAGAACATATAACCTTGACCTTGGGGGTAGCAACCTGGATGTTGAGCTCTGCAGATTGTGTCATGGTGGGGATCATTTGTGCCAAGTAATTTTAAAACCTTTGAATTGTCAATAAGTTATAGAGCGGACATGAAAAATAGATGTTTTTACATTGGACCTTTGAGTGTGACCCTGACCTTCAGGGTTGTGACTTGATTATTGTGCTCTGCCAATGGTGTCATAATGGTGATCATTTCTGCCAAGTTATCTTAAAAACATTGCAGCGGTTTAAATGTTATGGACAGACACGAAATGTAGACTTTCTAACATTTGACCTGTAAGTGTGACCTTGACCTTGGGGGTAGCAATTCAATTATTGCGCTCTGCACATCGTCTCATAATGGTGATCACTTGTGCCAAGTTATTTAAAAAACTTTTCATAGGTTTAAAAGTTATGGAGCGGACACAAAATAAAGACTCTAAACACTTGACCGTTAAATGTGACCTTGACCTTGGGGGTAGCAACCCAATTATTGCGCTCTGCACATCGTCTCATTATGGTGATCACTTGTGCCAAGTTATTTAAAAAAAATTTCTAGTGGTTTAATAGTTATGGAGCAGACATGAAGTATGAAATTAATTTTTTTTAACATTTGACCTTTAAGTGTGACCTTGACCCAATTATTGCGCTTTGCACATCGTCTCATTATGGTGATCACTTGTGCCAAGTTATTTAAAAAAAAACTTTCAATGGTTTAAAAGTTTTTGAGCAGACAAGAAATGTAGACTTTTTAACACATGACCTTTAAGTGTGACCTTAACCTTGGGGATAGCAACATAATTATTATGCTCTGCACATCATCTCAATATGGTGATCACTTGTGCTTAGTTATTTAAAAAAAAACTTTCAATAGTTTAAAAGTTATGGAGCGGACAAGAAATGTAGACTTTTTATTATGAAATGAAGACTTTTTAACATTTGACCTTTAAGTGTGACCTTGACCTTGGGGTTAGAGACCAAACTATTGCTTTCTGCACATCCACTCATTATGGTGATCATTTGTGCCAAGTTATTTCAAAAAAACTTTTAGCACTTTAAAAGTTATGGTGTGAACATGAAATGTAGACTTTTTATTATGAAATGAAGATTTTTTAACATTTGACCTTAAAGTGTGATCTTGACCTTGGGGGTAGCAACCCAATTATTGCGCTCTGCACATCGTCTTATTATGGTGGTTATTTGTGCCAAGTTATTTCAAAAACATTTCAGCAGTTTAAAAGTTATGGAGCGGACATAAAAGTGTTTTGGATGGACAGACGGACAGACAGACTTACAGATCGCTTTGAGATTTCAATTACTATAAAGATCCTGTATTTGTATACCACAATTAAGTGAAATTATATATATGTATATAATTAAGCTTATAAACAATTTTCAAACATCTAAGAATATGTAAAATATGTACTGCAAATATTTGTACATATTATATGTAATGCATTCATTTCTTATAAAAAATTTGACTCAGACTATAGAAAATAAAGTTTTTATAACCCTCCTTTATTTACATGAATGTTAAATTCGATAATATCTTTATAAATAATGCATTTTGGAACTTACAAAATTGATAAATCTTAATTTGAGCGTTATATTTATGATATAAAACCATAAAAAAATTTGTGTTACAGGATCTTTAAAAGAAGAAGGGAAAAATTTGAATACAAAAAAATTAATAAGTTTTGATAAAAGAACTCAAACGTGAAAACTTGAAAAAAAGAAAAACCTATTCACAAAGGCATGCAATATATTATCTGTTTCTCTTTTGAATGAACATTTTGTATTTGAGATATTAAAATTGTCAATGGATGCCACTTATACCATTATCTGACTGGTTCAGACTGCAATAAAATTCTTGAAATTGGATTATATTTTGTCTCTGCCAGGTCGGCTGACAGAAGTTTTTAGTTTATTTCATTTCTTTAGTTTTACAATTTATTCTTTTTTCCGTAGCATCAAAGTAGTCTGTCTGATGTATATCTGGTAATAATGTGTCAGACGGTGCAAGTCTCGTATTGCTTAGCTAGCGTGAAATGAACGACGGTTCTCCCTTGTTAAATTTAATTATCTCGTGTTTCGGAAAAGTTTTGTTTTCCATGTCAGATACAAACCTGAAAAATAATTACACATTTTTCTAATTAGATTAAACAACCATTTTGAAAGATTTGTCTGGGTTTTTTAAAACTTTGTTACATTTCAGTGAATGTTTTTTATGAAGTTGTTTCTTTTCTGTGTTATGTACTTTTGTATCTAGAACTATTTAATTTAAGAAGTTGACAATTGCACATTTTACTTAAGTCTAAATATATTTGTTATGTTGAATAGCTGAATGAAAGACGCACACCAAAAAAAAAAACACCACTCAGTAGACACACACAAATTATCATAAATATCTCTTACTGAGAACCTTCTTCACTGGTGGATCAATGCAATTGTCTGATTTATAATGCAAATAATAGTGCTTTAAATGTCAGTTCAAGTTCATATTTTCTTCACTTAACTTTCAAATGACAGTAGTCTACAGCCCACTCCTTCAAATATTTGAAAGGTTATCCATTAAGAACAGACCTATCTAAAGGTATGAAATGTAGAAATGGCTGAAATCTCTCACTTCTTTTAATTAAAAAAAAAAATAAATACAATTTCAAAAACCAATACGAAGGCAGATATATAATGGGTTGGGGCTTTTTGTGTTAATTTTGGTTGCTTTGACATTTCTAAAATATAATTCTGTTCCTGATGAATATCTATAAATCATGTATTCCTGTTGAAATATCCATTCAGTTACCTAGCAACATATTAAAATATACAGTGGAACTTCTATGAGTCGCACTTTGATTAGTTGATTTTCTCGATGTCTCGAAGTTAAATGAAAGTCCTGATTTTTCTCCCTATATATTCCTTATAAAATCCCATAAATGAGGGTTGAATTTTTCGATGTGCGGAAGTTTCTCATGGTACTATAGTTACGCCTTTTGTAATTGGATGCTCGAAAAATTGTGTAATTAAATTGAGACGATTCACGAGTCGATATTTTTTTATACAAGTCCTTTCAAACTTCTACTTACTGAAATTATACTGTATTACAAAGAAATAAGTTTAAGCTTACCCCAAAAAGAGACAAATATAGAGTAAAACACTGTAGCTGGGTGATCAAACAGGTAGGCCACTCTTGTATATATACAAACATCTGATAGGTACCAGTATGGACAGCCTATGTTCACGTCACATAACGGACACATCTTGTATGTCTGATAACTGTCACACACCTCGTTCCTGAAAATATATATAAAACAGGATGATGATGTGGGTTCAAACCCTACTGGCAGTACAACCAGCTCAAAAGAGAGAGAGAGACAGGTTCATTTTAGTTGCAAGCTTCTACCACAATCAAGCTTTTTAAGTAATGTTTCACCACAATCAAGCTTTTTAAGTAATGTTTCACCACAATCTAGCTTTTTAAGTAATGTTTAACCACAATCAAGCTTTTTAAGTAATGTTTCACCACAATCTAGCTTTTTAAGTAATGTTTCACCACAATCTAGCTTTTAAAGTAATGTTTCACCACAATCAAGCTTTTTAAGTAATGTTTCACCACAATCTAGCTTTTTAAGTAATGTTTCACCACAATCAAGCTTTTTAAGTAATGTTTCGCCACAATCTAACTTTTTAAGTAATGTTTCACCACAATCTAGCTTTTAAAGTAATGTTTCACCACAATCAAGCTTTTTAAGTAATGTTTCACCACAATCTAGCTTTTTAAGTAATGTTTCACCACAATCAAGCTTTTTAAGTAATGTTTCACAACAATCTAGCTTTTTAAGTAATATTTCACCACAATCAAGCTTTTTAAGTAATGTTTCACCACAATCAAGCTTTTTAAGTAATGTTTCACCACAGTAAAGCTTTTCAAGTAATGTTTCACCACAATAAAGCTTTAAAAGTAATGTTTCACCACAATCTAGCTTTTTAAGTAATGTTTCACCACAATCTAGCTTTTTAAGTAATGTTTCACCACAATCAAGCTTTTTAAGAAATGTTTCACCACAATCTGGCTTTTTAAGTAATGTTTCACCACAATCAAGTTTTTAAAGTAATGTTCCACTACAATCAAGCTTTTTAAGTAATGTTTCACCACAATTAAGCTTTTTAAGTAATGTTTCAAACAATCTAGCTATTTTACAGACTTCCCGAAATACGTCGGTCCGACGGACATGTCCGATAAATTTTGATCAGGTCTGACAATTTTTTATTCCGGATCAGTCCGACTGTCCGGCTTTTATCCAAGCCGCATGTATACAAAATGGCGTCGCTAAAGGTGCCAAACCTGGTAAAAACCGAAAATCTACGTCAGAAGAGTGCGCAGAACAGCAATAAAAGGATGAAAAGAATAGACCTGAGACAAAATTTATTGAAAAATGAAAGCAGAATCATGAATGATTGGTTTATGACAGGGAGGAGATGAAAATGCGCAGTACGGATTGTGCCGATTTTTACGGCGAAAAAATAAAAAACAAAAAGTGTCTTAGAAATACAAACACAAGTTTTTCTTTGATTTTGATCAATTTTATTTGGTCCGACAGATTTTGTTTCGGTCCGACAGATTTTCGTGGTTTGTCAGACCGAATGGCTGACAGTTTTTTTCAACTTTGGGGAAGTCTGTTTTACCCATTACTTCATGAGCATTTTGTGAAAAATGGCTGTTTTCATTGAAAAGTCTCCCGTTACAAGTTCAAATTGCTATAATACTATAAAAACTGCTTCAACACTAATCAAACTTGGCACAAATGTTGACTGGACCATTGCCCTTGCAACAACATGCTCAGGCTTAAATTTTCTGTTACCATGGCAACGAGGGGACATCTCAAAATTGCCAAAAATCACTATTTTGCGTGTGATTTTTTCCATCATAATTGATTTCAAAGTGCTGCAACTTCTCAATGGATTGAGATAGAGTCAAGAGCTTTTCAGCGTTGGTTACACGTTACCTTATGATCATTCTGGGGTCATTTATAGCCTCTCACAAGTCCAAAATTTTCTTGGCGATGAGGGGGACTCCGGCCCCCTTCAAACCCCCCAAACAGAAGGGGGCAGATCCAACCCCCTGATGTATCTTTTGGTTGGGGGCAGCGCCGAAAAAGTGGTCACTTTTTTTAACAACATTTCTCAAACAAAAACAAGTGCTGGGGGCCTAAATAAGGCATTTTTTCACCATTTGAGACAACAAAGGGGGGGGGGTGAAAAAGGCGTTAAAAGGCGTGTATATGACGTAATGGGTTAAGTAATGTTTAACCACAATCAAGCTTTTTAAGTAATGTTTCACCACAATCAAGCTTTTTAAGTAATGTTTAACCACAATCAAGCTTTTTAAGTAATGTTTAACCACAATTAAGCTTTTTAAGTAATGTTTCACCACAATCAAGCTTTTTAAGTAATGTTTCACCACAATAAAGCTTTTTAAGTAATGTTTTACCACAATCAAGCTTTTTAAGTAATGTTTAACCACAATCTAGCTTTTTAAGTAATGTTTAACCACAATTAAGCTTTTGAAGTAATGTTCAGAGACTGCTGGGATATTATTGATGCATTGATATACATTTCAAGCAGTGATAACCAACTCTTGTTTATTCTATACACAGACTGTTAAAATTTCACAAGTGACTCTGCCAATCATCAAAATGTATGATGAGTTAAACTGTGAAATATATAATTTATCTAATTCTTCTTTATCAACTTCAAGCAATGTTGTGGAAGATTTACAACAGTCCTATGCAGGGTTTTCATTTTTATGTGAGGCAACAGAAGTGCCATCAAATATAACCGACTTGACTAAGGGACAGGCTGAAAATACAACCGATTTTAACAGCATTTCCATCACCGATCTGTTTGTATTAAAACCCTGCCTTTATGATGCTGCATTTTATATATTCACTGCAGTTAATAAGTATAGAATGGAACTAGGCTAAAACTGCCTGTTTATTATTGGTATCTGTTTACTAATTTTGTCAAACTATCGGAAAACTAATTCCGCTGACAGTAAAAGAATTGATGCGATTGTTTGTTGTCTGTGTCCAGTTTCCACTCTGGGAGAAGGTTTATTGACCAATATGATATTTCGCTTCTCTTCCACTTTGTATAGGAGACAAAACAAACAGAGCTGATTGTCTGGTCAATGGTCCAAAAAACCTCTACTAGAAGGTAAGAATTGGTTTAAAGGCCTATTATTCCCCAGAAATGCTTTTATTTTTATTTCTCAAAAGATTTTTACTTTTGGTGTACTTTTGTAGCTTCAAAAAAAATAAAAAAATTGGCCAAGTACCTAAAACATCACTTACTTCTGTTGCATTTTAGCAATTAGTTCAGTTAAAGTGATGTTCGTATTGTGTATGGAAGTCAAAATACAACTTTTCTGATATCTTGCTACAGCTATGATAAATTATTTCACAAAAAGTTCTACATTTTTCAGGTAACAAGCATCTAAAACTCTCTAAAACCATTATATATAAACATAATGAACATCATGTTTGCCCTTTCTAAAGAAGTAAAATTGCATTTGTGTCTGAGGCATAATGTGCCTTTAACATGTACCCTGCTTAGCAAAAAGTTCAAAGCCTTTACCATCAGGCACGCCTGCACATCCATACAGTATGATCAGGCTCTATACTGTTGGCAGACTAACTTTAAAATTTTCACCTTGATACCCCTAAATTTGATAATGGACAGTCCTAAAATTGGTTGCTGGACAAGTCCGTTTTCAAAATTTAGCTGGGTAAGGAATAAAGCTGTTTGCCTTTCAAAGTGATTAATATAAGTTGCAAGAACTTGTTTCACAATCAAGCTTAAATAAATATCTTTAAACCAAAATGTGTTGCTTTGTTAGTTTTTTTATTCTACAAAGGATCTATATAATGTATACATACGCTGGTGTGTTATTGGACATGGTGAATACACCGTACAGGAAAACAACCACTCCAACAAATGCAGCGGGGAGGAGCCATGCTGTATAGAAACCTAGAAAATAGAAAGAGTAGATGTTATCTGGAACTCGGCAAACGTGGGTTTTTCCTGGAGCTGATCCCTTGTTACAAACAATCTTTTACTGTTATATCTTCACGAAGCACTCCTTTAAGAATAGTTAAGTCAACCTTCTGCGCTTAGTTTTGAAGCTGTGACTATAAAAGTTTGTATGTACCTGGATCAGCTGGGAAAAACCAATCATATTCTTTATTCTGAAGCAAGCCTATATTTAGTTTTTATTTTTTTTTTCATCATATTACCCTTACTGAATCTTGATTCCTTAATTATGCTTCCACTTCTCCAATCACTCCTTTATTTTCATTCAAAGAATTATTTCATCACAGTAAAAAGATAAATCATTTAATTTTTCCTTATTAAAAATTGCTGTGCCTATTTTTCTTTGGAAAAAAAGAAAAGAGACTAGAACATAATCTCAGATCCACCTGAATTATTGGCAACATGCCAATAAAGAAATTTTAATTGAATTAGAAAATAGATAGCTACAAGAGAATGTTTTTTTATGCAAGTTTATTAACCCCTGATTTAGGCCTTCTCTTTTGTTTTATTGGCAGACTTCATTAACTATTGCTCTGTTACTTTATATAATTTTCTTCGTGCATACTGATCAAGCTCTACACTACTGGCTCCAAATTAATTCAAATCCCTAAAATAGTCCAAAATATCTATAAGCAAAAGTTATTTTTCACATTGGTCAAATCCACTTCACATTTTCTTCCGATATATGTAAAACTGTAAAAAAAAATGTATAATGCAAACTCTTTCAATAAAGGACAAACCCTATAATTGATCACAAACAGTTCTAAACAATGGAAGCTGAACAAGTTTATTTAATAAATTCAGGAGGTTAAATTTTTAATATGGATCGTTTACAGCAGATGTAAAATAACTACGTACCTAGCCATGCAAAATATATGCCAATTTTTTCCCCGAAATATTCTCTGATGTGATCTAGGGGCTGGTATTTATTCCACTTCCACCATCGTGCCCAATAATGATACAAAACCTGGCGAGGATTGTAAGCTTCCGGGTCAAGGTTGCTGTACTTTGGGATTTCATATGGTCCCTGAAAACACATATTATAATTATTGTTATTATTATTATCATCATTATTATTATTATTCTTATTATTATCATTATTATTATTATCATTATCATTATTACTATTATTATTATAATAATTATTATTATTATTCTTATTATTGTTATTATTACATGTTTTATCATTATTATCATTATCATTATTACTATTATTATTATAATTATTATTATTATTATTCTTATTATTGTTATTATTACATGTTTTATCATTATTATCATTATCATTATTACTATTATTATTATAATTTTTATTATTATTATTATTATTATTGTTATTATTACATGTTTTATCATTATTATTATTATTATTATCATTATTACTATTATTATTATAATAATTATTATTATTATTCTTATTATTGTTATTATTACATGTTTTATCATTATTATCATTATCATTATTACTATTATTATTATAATTATTATTATTATTATTCTTATTATTGTTATTATTACATGTTTTATCATTATTATTATTATTATCATTATCACTATTATTATTATAATTATTATTATTATTATTCTTATTATTGTTATTATTACATGTTTTATCATTATTATTATTATCATTATTACTATTATTATTATAATTATTATTATATTTATTATTATTATTATTCTTATTATTGTTATTATTACATGTATTATCATTATTATTATTATTATGTATTTATGTTTAAACAAATTAAAAGTTCTTAGGGAATATAATTCAAAACAGATTATAATGAGTTATAAACCTTTAAAATATTTTCTGTACAAAAGCTTACCGGTAACAAGAAAACTGGATGTGACACCTCAGGGAGAGTAGGATAGCTTTCCATTATTTTACTTTGTATAGTCCAACTAAATGTTTAACTGCGCAAAAACTTTCATAAGAAATCTTAATATGGGTGCGGAGTAAAAATGTCTTCTGGTTTGACATATTTTTTTTATTAGACAGGACTGAAAATATTTTTTCAAGATTTGTATACCCTTATTTTTTGTTTCTCTTTTTTTGTGTGTGTCTTTTGCATAGTTTTTTCATTTTAAGAACCCCAGGTGATCCAAAATTATTAGTATTTCAATTTTATGTTTTTTGGATTTTGGACCTTTGTGGAACTCCTTTCATTTCAATTTCATTTGGCAATATTCCCCAGTTTTGTTATTGATTTTTGTTATTGTTTCTTTTTTATTTCAAATCTTTCATAATTCACTTCTTTTAATATTTTGCCTACATATTTGCCTAATTTACAGTTTTTGAACCTTTTTTCACAGCAATGGTATGGCTTGGCCTTTTGAAGGAAATATCTAAAGCTATAATTATTCTGGAATTTCCATAGAAACAAAGTTAATTTAAGGATTTAATGATCAATTATTTTGTTCCTAGAACACTCATTAAGTTGTCCAAGGTTTTATCTACACTGCCTATAATTAACTAAATTTTTCCTGCTTTATTTTCCATTTCCAAGCCAATCAAAACCCAGTAATTTCACACCTTTATTCTCAACAGAAAATGCTGACACAGATAATTCTTTCCCTCGGCTCATCACAGGGATAAAATACCATAGACATATTTGTTGACAAGTAATGGTCATATCTTTAACATTTAATATCCTGTCTTTCACGAAAATTTTCCTTTCTAAAGCGGCAGATAAAGATTATAGGTTGACAGTCAATTATAACCAGTCATAATGACTTTAATATTCTATAAAACTGTTGTCCTCGAAAAATAATAAAAAATTCCTTTTAGAAAAAAAATCAATAATTTGTTTGTCAGATTTTTGTCAGTTATAAATTTTCCAAGATATCTGCCGGTAAATAAAAGCTGTATGAACAAGCGTAAAAATCTATTTTTAGCACTGGTGACCTTGACCCCTTACTTCACTCAAAGATAGAAAACTATCCATGTTATGTTTCTACTATAAATATAATAATAGGCATCTGTGGTTAAATAAATGATTTATGACTGTGTTAAAGTATAAAACTGGTGAAATGATCCTTAACTCCTCAAACAGGTAGAGTACCACTCTTGGTATGTCCCTATTAAACATGAAAACAACAGTTTAAATGCAATAATATTTTCAGTGATAACAGGGGAAATAACTATGAAGATGATGAAGGGCGTGGAAGAAGGTCGAGCGTCAAGCCGCCAGATGTGACGTCAATGGAAGAAATTAGCAAGAGTGACCGTTCGAGAGATATCAGAAGTAACTGGGATGAGCTATGGAACCACGCACACAATTATCACCAAGAAATTGAACATGCGAAAGGTATTTTATATGCATTTACTTATGTTTTTTTTTGTTTTAATCACTCTATTCAGTTTCGAATATAAAAACTCAAATTTTTCGGGCCAATTTATGATTTCGCACGTACTGTTACAAATAATAAAATGCACGGATACACATTTGTTTCAAACATGCTGCATAATTCAAATTTATAAATAATGTATCAAAAACTTAAATAATTTTACAAAATACCTTAATACTTGCTTATCAGTTTGATTTCTCAGTGTTCAGAGATTTGAAATGCCAGCGCTTTGAGAATTTGGAGGAGTTACAGTTTGCGACAAAAACCCTAATACGTCAGTATCCAGCAGAGTATTACAGGAATGTATTCTTCTCAAAGTGGCCTAAGAGGCATGAACATAGCATTGCATGTTTTGGCTCGTACTTTGAAAAAGAGTGAATGTCATGCGTTTTTCCTTAAACACTTACGATGCTGGGACGTTGCTGACGTCAAGAGTTTTTTGACGACGTTGCCCGGTACCGCGATAGTGACACATTTTTATGGTTTGTTATTCCGAATTATGTAAACATATTGTAAAACAAAGATGCATGTTGTTTGTTGATAAAACGTACTTTCATGTGATATAAGTTTTATGTACAATTGTCAAACAATACATGAGATATTGAGCCAGTCTACGTAATTCTTGATCACCCCTCGTATCACTGAATTTCAAAATAAGATCAAAATCAGTATTTTTTATTAATGTTACCAGGATATTTTACTGTAGAGAATTATTAAGCAGCTTGATTTAGATTGGAAATATAAAAGTCAATATATGTGTAAAACAAATTAAATTCTGAAAAACAGATGATATAACAGGTTCATCAAGTATGCTTTTATTTCCTGGTTTCACAGCTGTGCATTAACAGATGTCACAAATACAGTTAAAATTAATTAATATAGGGATAAAAAAAATAGTTTATTATCTAATTACATTGGAGTTTTTTTATACTAAATTTATTACTATAGCATGTAATTAATTTCCAGCAACACAACAGTTTTATGGAGTATACAACTATCATTTATATTTCATATGTATGTTAGATATGAATATATTTGAACTGAATTTGAATATTTGATATGAATATATGTGTCACGCATTCTGTTTTCTCTATTTCATTATCCCTCATGTTCAGACTCAATCAAACCGAGTCTGCAATAGACCCTTCTCAAATTATATGCATACCTGGAATTCCAGAACCAGAACGAGGTTTAAATGGCACGAATGTAAACACACTGACCACTCTTATCTCACTACCGAGTATATAGCCACGATGTTGGTTGTTAATAAAGAAAAGTTCTAATTATCATTTCTGTGTGCCTCTGTGCTATTCTAATGGTAAATATGATTTACCATATTCCAAAGGATAAAGATTAAAAAAACAACAAATAATGGATGACCAACTTTCTAAGATAAGAAGGGATAAAGGGTCATTGTTAAAGGTAAGCACCTAAAAATAATATTTTGTAAACTTTGACCACTATTATGAACAGAATAATATTTTTGTAAAAATACAGATTTTGTAAATTTAGAATAAAATAATAGGAGAACTGCTTGCTTTTAATCTAACAGTTATAACAATTAAAACTTGTAAATTGTAAATTATTATCAGTTCAAATATATGTTACAAATAGAGGATTGAAGCTGACTAATAGTTACTGTATCATTCCTTATTATAAATATATGGTATATTTTAGGGTCATGCATCTACTGTGATGTGTTCCAAACATTTTAAACTGAGGATTACAACTGGACTCCCCTTAAAAATGGTTCTATTCCATCTGTGTTTAATTGGGTTGAACAAACAACTCCAATTAAGAAGGCCACTTATAAGAAAAATTCTTTCACCAAAGAAAATGCTCATTGATAGGCAATTTTTTGATAAAGTCACTGATTTAACTCCCATATTCATCATTTCATTTAAATACATACAATATAATGCTTATTTATGTTTAATAAATGTGTTCGCTTACAGAAAAAAAATCATTTAAATTCTCACTCAGATACTGAATAAATAATATGGTAAAATATATATCTTTCTGTTTCAGCATTGTCTATAATGAAGATGAAGAAGATAATGCAACAAGTACCAATTGCCAACCATCTACATCTTATGGGTCTACAGAAACACAGGAAGAAAATGATATTGATAAGGCTTCATGAGGCTTGAACTGGGGGAGACCAAAAAGATGTAAAGACCCTGCAGCTCAGCTGAATTTGTAGTGAAATTACAAAGGAACATGCACACGTTTCATTTGTGTCATTGTTACATGGATGCATGTCAGATGTTGAGATCTAATTGAACTTTTGGAAACTGGTGATGATGTGATGGGTGATAAAGGGTTTACATTAAGGAAGATACTTTCAGACAGGGAAGTGTCATTGAACATTTCAGCATTTGTACAAAAGACAAATTTACACTAGAAAATGAGAGAGAGAATGATCAGCCAGAATCAAAAACCAAAAGAATTAAAGAGTATCATCTGTTTCACACATCTATTTCATTTCTGTCAACCAGGTATGGACATTAGCATGTACACTACCTAATTTTAATGAACCCATAGTGCAATCATGGACAAAATGTAATAGTCAGTATTATATTGTTTTTATATGTTTATATAAATTGGTTTTCAATAAAAAAGGATAATAAAAAGCAATATAATATTAGGAAGTATTAAAGTCTTTATTAAAATTTTGAAATAAATAAGAAAATTCATTCTTTCTCTGTTATCTATGGCATTTCCCTTAATTATATTGCGCAACCAGTATCTGCTGGTAGTACTGGAAGTACAAATTAAAATTCATAAAGTACATGTATACATAGAATTTGGCTAGGCATTAGTTTATTTCAGATACTATGGTAACTGAGTCAATAAATGTTTGATATAATCCACCCAATACACATCTGATAAAGATTTTCCACAGGTCATTAGGGGCTTATCTGTAAGATTCAATTTGCAATTACCTTTATGTTGGTATGAAGAATCCATAAATAACAGAACACCTAAGATTATATAATACAAGACACCGCAGATTTATATCTATAAACCTTATATTATGTTCGAAAATATGTTTATGACAGCAAAATTGAAACCGAAAGTAAAAAAAAAACCTCTTCTCTTACTCACCTCTTAAACCATAAATGGATACCTCACAAATATAATTGAATTCTTTATAGAGGGATTACCTTTGTTTTGTTTAATATATAACTCTACAAGTGAGAAATTAATGTTAGGAACCAAAGATAAGTCAATTTCATTGTATACACAGCTTATACTGGCTTATCAGCTTGCCAGTTATGCCTCGTTCTGGTTCTTGTTCTAAAAATAGCTGTAGAATATTAAGAATGGTCTATTCTCTTGTAATTTTGTTGTGATTTAAATGCTTCTGAGGGATGCACTTGATGACAAAGCTTCTGTGAATGTTTGGTCAAAATCCGTTGAGAAATGTAGGAGGAGTTGCGCACAGAAGAAATTGTTTACGCCCACCCGTCCTCCCGCCGACATACCTCAATCTAATAACCAGTTTTTTCTTTCGGAAAACCTGGTTAAATATATATATAGATCACACAGAGTAAAATTCAAAGTATAATTGGACTATGTACTTTTATAATTATCTTTTTTCATTATTTATTAGCTTTCAAATATAAAAGTTTCACTTACATCGTGTAATGGAAAGGCGGCACTATATACGCCCTCCTCTATCAATCTTTCTATACCAATCTCCGCCCTCTTCCTCTTGCCGTACGCGGCTGTAGTCAATATCTCCCATACAATACGACTTCTTTGTGTAGTCGAGAAATATGTCTCGTGATTACTGCTACCCAGAAACCTGTAAATCAAGGTCAAGGTTAAATATTTACAGCTTAACCTGTAAATCAAGGTCAAGGTTAAATATACTAGTATACAGTTTAAAAAGAGGTTAAATTTATAACAAGAGGGCCATGATGGCCCTGAAGCGCTCACCTGTATATAGGCCCCTTGGCCAAGGCCGATTTTAAACCAGGGGCTTTCATTTGAACAAACTTGGTAGACACCATTAGAAGATGTTTCATGATAAATATCTAAGCTCTAGCTATTTGGGGTTTTTATAAGAAGATTTTTTAAGTTTTTACTATATACATATAGGGAAAATCAATGACCCCCCCCCCCCCACAAAGGGGCCAATTTTGACCCATGGGCTTTTATTTGAACAAACTTGGTAGACACTCACTAGAAGATATTTCATGCTTAGTATCTAAACTCTAGCTCTTTCGGTTTTCTAAAAGAAGATATTTCAAGTTTTTTTCTTTCGGTTGCCATGGCAACCAGAGTTCTGCTTGAAATTAAATTCTTTGAACAAAGTTTGAAGTTGACTACCAAAGGAACATTCCTGAGAAATTTGGATGAAATTGGCTTAGCAGTTTATGAGGAGATGTTGTTTAAAGTAAAAGTTTACGGATGGACGAACATTTTGTTTTTCTGGCTGTTTGTTTTATCTCCACATCATCTTCAGCAATCTAAAACATCGAACTAATCACTCAATTTCTCATTATCTTGCTACAGCTTTCTGTGACAGAAATGAGCCGTGTCACGACAAAACCAACATAGTGCGTTTGCGACCAGCATGGATCCAGACCAGCCTGCGCATCCGTGCAGTCTTATCAGGATCCATGCTGTTCGCTATCAGTTTCTTTACTTGTAATAGAGTTGGTAAGCGAACAGCATGGATCCTGATCAGACTGCGCGGATGCGCAGGCTGGTCTGGATCCATGCTGGTCGCAAACCCATTATGTTGGTTTTGTCGTGACACGGCTCAAATAGTATTTCAAGTACCTATCAAGCTTGGACTTTTTGAAAGCACAAGTATAATAGTCCAATGGTTGATGTGGGAGGTCTTCATGTAGAATATTTGGTATGTGAACAGCTCCCAGTATCTTGTCTGACCAATTACTCCTCGGATTTGGATGTGCCTACAATTATAATATATATATTTATAAATTGCTTGTATCATAGTTTGGGGACCTTTCTGTTGAAAAAGTGTCAGAGTTAAATCGTATACATATACATGCACAGTGCGGTAACTGGAGTGCAGGTATCAGTTACCCGCACTCCAAATCATGCCCGTTGATTGGCTCATTTTTGCTGGGGTTTACATATTGTGATGGCAGAGAAAGGGAAAGCGGCAGAAATATCATATTCAGATGCTCGATCATTGGTTACTTTTTCCCGGGGTTTACAATTGTGACAACAGGGAACGTGTTTTTATGTTTGACTATGATACAAAAGAGAAAGAACACCAAAACACTCGGCAATCTGATTTATACTCGGGGCTACGCCCCCTCGTACAAATCAGATAGCCTCGTGTTTCGGTGCTCTTTCTATTACTTATAGCCTGATATAAGATAAAAATATTCATATCAATCAATTGTCACTTTAATTTGTCCAGGCTCTATACTGGTGGAAAAGGCTAATCATTTTTGGTATATACATATTTGGTATACACGTATAAACTTATTACAAATGGCATCAGGAAAATCACTTCTACGCTCAATGTAGTGCAACATATTTAATAAATATAACTGTAAATCCGTGTTAATGGCAAGTGGCACTGCTCTGCCCTGAATATTGTTACTAAACATACTCACAACCACGGATTATGTAATATAAATCCGTGTCACAACATACATGTATGTATGCGCAAGTTTTCAGGCATATGCCTGAAGCTCTGTTTTTGTGTGTGTGACATTTTTAATTTCATCATGTTTTACCATAAGATTATGTAGGAAAATAATTATGAATAAAGGTTTTCAGGCTTTTCCAAATTTTCAACTTGCACCCATGTATATGTAAATATTGTGTTTGCTATTGGTATACATTTATGAAAAGTTGATTTATAGTAGAATTGTTTATTTGAGAAGTGTTTCTGATTTCTTTTCTGGTTTGTAAAGTTTCCTAGCTTATAATTCTCGAGATAACGACGCCTTATATGTCTCCCAACTTCTCCCTAAAATTTTGACCTAGCTCAAGCCCTGTTTATAATCGATTCTCTTTTATATTGGCATGGAAATTGATATTAATTTTTTTTGCATTGCATATAATAATGCACAATTTTACCATTCAAATGCTTTGTATTAATTACTCAATCAGGCCTATGACCCTTCCAGATTATATTCCTGTGCATATTCACTCGAACAGAGCATTATTCTACAACATTGCACGTCAAAATTCATATCTATTTCCTAAATATATTTATTTTCATTTTTATGACAATGACATCAGTTAACTGTAAAAGTGTTATTGCATTGATAGCAAATAAAAACCTTCAAAACACATGTATTTTAGAACTTTGGAAGGTCACACATTTTGTCATGAAAGAAATACTAAGTCTTGTTGGTGCAGCAAACAAATTTCGCAATATAAAAAGTTATTACAGGCTTAAAAAATTTTGCTAGTGTAATAGATGGTGGGAGTGCTTTTGTTGACTGGAACATTACCTGCAAAGGAGCTCTCATGCAAAGATCTTCAGCGTAGAAGACGCAAACGTCCCACGGGGCGTACAGTTTGACATACGTTATCTGCTTCTTTTCACTCTGCACGGTCTCCTGTAATATAGAATATAATATATATACCCTGTAAAAATCAATATCAATTACAACATTTTACGCTTCACATCCATACACGACTTGCGACTGCATCTTTTGTCTCTCAACAAAATATTTTCATTTTCCCGTGGAAGTTTGAGAGACGCTGAAATAGCAGAATTGTCCTCAATATAATAAAACACTCATATTTATATTCACACGGCTTTAAGGCACTCAGTGGATTATTGCATGTTATATAATACTGCTGGAATATCAGTATAAATCTTGTTCTCTTTTATGAATGTATGAAGCAAAGGCATTTGACTGAATTTGTATGATCAAGTCACAATTCCAGCGAAATTTAATCCATCAATTGTTGAAATTTAAAATCTAAACTTCAGCAGCTGACATTGTATTATAGTCTCACTAGTACTTTTGCACCAAAGTTTAGGATAAAATTAGTATGTTACAAATATTACAAACTAATGTGAGGATAATTAGCTTGCATTGTTAGCCTAAACATTGACCAGGATTAAAGTTTAATATTACATTATACCGTAAAATTCCTAATAAACGCCCCTCTCCTAATTGAAGCCCCCCCCCAGGCTTTTTGATATGGAAAAAAATCTGCTCATGAGTGGTAAACTCTTTAATTAATCAGTAATTTTATTCAAATCCTGCAGCATCCATTTCATTTCATAGTAAACACAAAAATGTATCACATGAACTTTAAAATCTTAACACATTTTAATGTTATTACCAACCCATGTTACACTAAATGTATTTTCAATGAATTTTGGATTTAGGAAAAACGTGTTGTAATAATAGCCCCCCTTTTGGAAAATGTTTAGCCCCCGGGGGCGTTTAATAGGAATTTAACGGTATTATATTATAGTATAGTTACATATATTATTGTATAGTGAATATTATCAACATTAAAGCTCAATTCACCATAAAATTATAATAATACATGGCCTCAATGACTTACATGTAATCATCCCTTTTTGTTTTATATCTTCAACATATTGGATTTTTTTTTTTCCATCTTGTGACACCATTCAATAAGTGCCCTAGTTTTTTCTAATTAATATTATTGTTGTGTCAGAGCTTAGAAAAAAGAAGCTTTCCACATAATTTGATAGGGGTTTTGATCAATGACACTCAAGAATGGAGTCTGCAGGATTATATTAGTTAATCTACTGACATATTGCTGCCAGCATTTTATTCTGACACTGTTCTGCCCCTCCAGTTCTGGGTGAAATACCTTAACATAAATGCTCTCCCCCCACCCTCAATATTGAACTAACTGACCCCCCACCCACTTTTCTAAATCCTAAATGTATATTCTAACATCTCTTTTATTGTTACATTTTTTTCAAATTTTCAAATTAATCAAAATTTAAAATACTATTAATTTGCCAATGTCTCCAAATAAGCATGCCCCCACTTAGCAAAATTCAACAACCACTGCACCTTTTTTATGGTGTAATATATTAAAGTACGGTATGTACATATTACTTAATTATGCACTTCATAATATCTTTTTCAACATATACTAAAGATTGCAATTGACATTATAAATACATCTAGAGTTTGGAGGGAAACAAAAACATTATAAAGAGTAATGGCTCCTTGACAAAACAGACAAACAAATATGGAGCAGTAAACAAAAACATATTTAAAAAGAATTTAACCAACAATAAAATTTGAAACAGAATTCTAAAACTGATAACATTATAATACCTTATCTATAAGATTTTTATCAATAATAACACCTTCTTCCTGCAATGTCATAATTCCAATGTAAATTTTGTAATAATAGTCTTTCTTTATACACTTTCTAATCAAAGTTGTATTTTCAGTATTTTTTTGTTTGTTTGGGTTTTTTGTGCTTTTTGGGGGCGCATGCGCAATGCGCCCCCAATGTAATAACGACAAATTCAGATTTACTATGATGTGAACACAATTAGTCAGCTACCTTCGCTAAGCAAAATAGTTCCAAAACTTCGCAGTAACTCCAAAATCATAGTTCCCTATCTATTTTAAAATTGACTGGCCAATTTTGTACTAAATTTAGCAATCGTCTTTTAAAATTGTATGTATATTTTTGCTTTACGCGATTTTAATATTACTACGCCAGCGGTCGATCATAGCCAAAGTACTTGCATAAATATAGTACAAATTACATGTAGTCACAAGTTAATTAAGTGTCATAGAACTCAAAAATTTAGCAAGTAATGGAATACGGATTTCAGATTAGCTAACTTTAAAGCTTATAGAGCCTAATGCTTCATAAGTGTAAATTAAAGAAAAACAATGCATGCGTATGAATACGAACTATTTTCGCCCTTACGTCATTTTACCGCAATCGCCATTGTTTACAAGTTCATCCGTGAAAGATTGAGAAGTTTATATAGAAGTTCCACGTGTTAAAACGAGTTGTAAGTTTTATTTTACAAAAACCTTATCTCCCATTTACCTAAATGTTGTATAACTTTGCTTGTTTTGCATTTATCCATTTATCAGTGGCGAAATCGTCGTCAAATCGTTGGCGATTCTGGTTGCTTACAAAAAATACAAGGACTTAATACCGGATATGACTTTAAATACAACGTTATTCAAGATGACTGATGTTCATTGTTTATATTTCATAACGTTGATATTTAAGTTGCAATCAAAAGCTGTATTTTTTAAAAATTTTCTTCACAATCGGCCATTATCGGGTAAAGCTTTTTTGTACTGAATTGACCTTATCAAATTTTAAGTTTAGCAGTTCCTTCCCTTGAAAGTCCTCCCTCAAACCATTTCCTACCCAGACATTTTTGACCCATTTTTTTTTTTATATATTTTTTGGAGGTGAGTTATTTACATCTAGCGTTTACATATTGTTGATGCTTACCTTACAGCTTTTTTAAATAAAAAATATACAAGTTCAGTAATGATGTCTTATTACATTTTCTCAAAGAATGAACTGGATCCACGGTGCATAATCCATATTTGTACCCTCTTTGCGAAATCTGCTGAAACGGTACCTATCATTCACTGCTTAAAACAAACCAGCGGTGGATAACAATCATGTAAAATTTCATTGTAATAAGGAAAAGAGCTGAGGTATGACACTTAGAAACCACAGAACACTAGATTGTTTTATTTATGTGCTGATTCATCATGTGCCAGTCTCTCATGTACTGCAACTTCATAATAAGCTAAAAAAAATCGACATGTCTTGCCTTGTCCATCACCTCGGCTTACAGACACTTCACCCCCCAGACACTTCACCCTAGGCCCTTTTTTGCAGACACTTCACCCCTCATTTTAAGAAATTTGAGTAAGGTTATAATTATATTTACACTGGGGATTAGCATTGAAAAACCCTGACATTTGCTTAGTTCTGTGTAACATCTATACGCTACCAGTACAATTTTTTTTTGGAAAAATGCGTTTTGACTCAAATTGATACTACATAACTGACAGGTATTCATGCCACATGGTTAATTTAGAATTTTATCCAGGGAGACATGAGAATTATGCATAATATTTATACACATTTAAAGTTAAACCATGCATAATATATTGATTTCTTATTGGAGTGAAAAAAATGAGTACATGTACATAAATAATGTTCGGAAGTATAAAATGAACTAGGTACAAATATTGCTCTGTCAGATGTAGTTATACTTGGTTTTTATCACATATCACTTATCAATATGAAATCATCCATTTTATATATGCCAATTTTGGATGGGAATTTTGACAGTAATTTTGGGACTTTAAAAATAAAACATTTGAAAATTTGCTGTCTTTTTTTATTGGGAATGTAAATAGTTTTATAAGGGAAAAATGCTGTTCTATTACAAATAGAATAGATAATAGTTACAAATACTACAAATAATATATCAGGGATTGAAAAACGAAAAACAACAACAACAACAATGCTTAAAAAATATAAATTTCCTACATGTTCTGACTCATTTTTCTTTTTTGAAGACATTTTTTCTTTTTTGAAGACACTGTTTAACTTACTTCTTTCTGGCTAAACATTTGCCAAATATTGCATTGTGACATTTTAAAAAAATTTTGTGGAACATACTGGAATCGCCGCACGGGCTTTTAGTAAGTTTTTACAAAATAGAATCAGACAGAATTAAGCGTTGCATTCAACAAATCAACATCAGTTTTGCCCATCAAACACAGGGGAATTATTTTGTGCTCTGTCCTACTAGTAAAACTTGAAAAATGGTTTCAAAAGAATTGAATTGAAATTTGATTAATTTATGCTAGAAATTTCACACGTCCTGCAGGACGGGCATTTTTGGGAGATTAACTTGTCCAGAGTCATTTTTACTCGTATTTATCATTTATGAGCGGACAAGTGGATTTGTCAAGCCTTGATTAACTGCAAGTGATTAACCACATTATTTCCATAAAACTTATACTACATGTAATTACATTGTTTGAGATAATAAATCATTTGACTTACTAGTGAAATAAGTTTAAGACTGCATAATATTGATATAAAAGTGAATTCAGTTAGTGGGTTCCAAACTACAGGTGGAAACTGTTCTATTTTCTATTCAAGTTTTTTTTTGATGAAACAAAACTTAATCCTGACAACAGTTATATATGCTTAACAGTGTTGTATTTTGATTATTTTAAAATCTGTTGAAAATATTCATATTAAATTCATGAAAAGAAGTTTAAAAAAAAAGAGAAAGAAATGAGATTTGGGCATAATTTTTAAGAAGGTAAAGATACTTCAATGAAAAAGTAAGATAGGTAACAAAAATCAATCAAACGAAAAACTCATTTAAATTTCAAGTTGTTCCTGACATGTCTAAGTTGTTCCTGACATGTCAGAACAAAATTAATAATTTTTTTTTTTTGAAATCTGGTAACCTCGAGCTATGTTCTCTACCGATTGAGCTATGATTCCGACAATTATTACTCACTTTTACAATAATTATTGTTAGTCAATCATATCTGGACATGCAACATTCAACTTACCCATATATATGCCTTTAAAAAGGACTGTTTTGACTATAAATACTTGTAAGTTTGTAGAGTAAGTTTGAGGACATATCTACCAGACTTGGAAAGCTGGAGTCTTTAGAACAGAAAGTTGGTGACATTGATAATAAAATATCCAAGCTGTGGTCTGATTTAGATAAAAGGGTGTCCAAAAATGAAGAAAAAATCTCTGATGTTAGAGAGGCAGTTGAAGCTCATGATTTTGATATTGAGAAAACAAAGGATGAAGTTCAAAGTTTGAAAAGCGAAAATAGACGCATAAAGGACGAAGTGGTTGACATGCAGGCTAAGGCTATGATGACAAATTTAATTATTGGTGGTATAGCTGAGAAACAGAACGAGACCATGGAACAGACTAAAGAATGTGTAATCGAGTATTTCAAGAAGGATTTGAAGATTCCGGATGAGGAAATTGGTGATATAAAAACTAATTCAGTAAAACGTCTGGGTCCGAAAAAGAATGACAAACCGAGAAATATCCTAGTAGTATTTCAAGAGGTAAAAATGAAAGATTATGTAAAATCATTTAAGGACAATGTAGATTCGAAGGCGTCAGGGAAATATATGCACGATCAATATCCTCAAGAAATAGTAGAGCAGAGAAGAAAGTTAATACCAATCATGTTGAAAGCTCGGAAAGCAAAGAAAGATGCATTTATAAAGTACAATAAACTGTTTGTCGACGGGAAATTATACACTAACGGGGAGTTTGGTAAAGTTGCGTAGCAGTTTCATGGGGGTGATGTGAAAATTAGTATTTGGAACTGTAATGGTCTTTCCGCTGATAAACAAGATAGTGATGAATTTTGCAAATTAATATCAAATCAGGATATTGTTTTCCTGTTAGAATCTTGGACCAGTAAATATAGTAAAATCAATTTAGAAGGTTACACAAACTTTAATTTCTACAGGAAATTTCAAAATAGAAGAGCTAAAAGGTGTAGTGGTGGTATAGTCTTATATGTTAAAAACGAATTAGAGCCGGGTATTGAGATAATAAGAAACCACCATGATACTATTATATGGATTAGACTTGATTGCAACTTTTTTAAATTCGATTCGGATATATATTTATGTGCAATATATCTATGGGGTGAAGATTCGCCTGCGTACGATGTTGTCAATTGTAATCTTTTTGACTTACTACAGACTGATATTAACGAATTTCAGGCGTTAGGAACGGTTTTGGTCGGCGGGGATTTTAATTCCCGTGTAGGCTCGAAACCTGATTATATTGTGAACGATCGTATAAACTCGATCATCGATAACGAAGAGTACATACCAGATGAACCTATTCCAAGGACAAATTCTGACAAAGTGTTTAACAATTATGGCTC